AAAACATCAAAAAATATTTTTGGTTAGACGAATAGCTAAATTAAAATCCCATTCTTAAAATCAAAAACAAAAAATTCAATTTATAAATATTAAGATATTGTAAATAGTTATTATTCTAAGTAAAACTGTAAATAAAAAAAATATACCCTTATACTTCTAATAATTGTAAGTATTATCCATTATGTAAAATATGTATTAACTATTAGTCAACCAATCATTTTAATTGTATCTTATTAAAAGAAAATCATCGCTTAACATTGTAAATATTCTTAGTTCATAAATTAGTTTAGTTATTTATCTCATTTCTTCTTATTCATTGTTATTGTTAAATTTAATTATTATAATATAGTTTATTCAGGTTATTTTCTTTCATTATTATCCATAAAATAAAAACAAAAATAGCGAAATGATCAGTTTTCTTAAGCCCTTTCTGATCGATAAAAAGCAAATTAAATAATTCTCTTGGGAATTAGAAAAAATATCTTTAATAGAGAATAAAAATATTAACTAATATATGCATTCGTGGGCATAAAATATTGTACGCGACTTCGAGAGCTTTGTATTAGCCAGTAAGTCCTTATAATAATGTAAAAAATGATTTCATCGTTTATTGTGAAACCTTGTACTATTATTAATTTTGGCAATAAATAAACAATTACAAATACAAAAAAAAAATCACCGGTTCTCGTTCGATCACCGAAGTTAAGCAGCATTGAGCGCGGTTAGTACTTGGATGGGTGACCGATTGGGAATACCGCGTAGTGTTGGCCTCTTTTTTTTTAATTCAAATATTTCTTAGTAAATTATTCATAAATCATATTCATAATTGCGAAAATTTTTATACTGGATAAACTTATACTATAAAGTTTGTCCTCAACAGAAAATTTTTGAAGTTTATTTTTTAACGTTCTATTAAAATCTCCATTTTACATTTCTAATTTAGTGTTAAATACTATGAAGCTAAAAATTAGCACCCACTTAATTTTGGAAATTAAATTTTAAACTTTACTTTACGCCCGTCCATTTGGGGGGAAATTGGAAAAATTCGCCTTGCGAATTGAATGCAAAATATTATTGCGAAAAAAAGTAGGAAAAAATCTGAGGACACATATGGCGATGGCCAAGATGGATAACCGCAGGGTCGGAGGTGTCAATAGCGGAAAAACTACTCGAGAAAGATCGATTGCAAAACGTCAACAGCTGCGGTTTATTCTTCAAACAACTATGATATTCAATGATGACAACCAGTTTTCTCACGTTATTTTATTATCTCTTATCATTGGCAGTTACATAATCAATAGATTGTTTTTATTCTCATTTTTCCTCTGCGGTCATATATGGGAAATAAAAAGTATACATTAATATCACTGCTTTTAATTCACTACAGAAGCTTTAATTTTACTTTAGCAGGACTCGAAAAATTCTGAAGAATTAATTTTTTTTCAAAAGTTTAATTAAAGTTTTTTTGAAATTCTTCCAATTTTTTATTTTCTAATACATATTTTTTTGGAGAACTAAAAGTGGGTCTAAATTTTGACTCGGTTGGGGTAATTATACTGAAAATCATAAGAAAAATTATTAAAAAATTACAAAGCGCGTGAATGAGACACGATGCTTGAAAAGTGCAACAAGGAATTTGCGAAAAAAGGCGCAGAGACGTTGGCAATTTCCATGTATTATGTATGAGAGACAGGCGCCAGTCGACCTGCCCTCTCAGCAACGGCAGCAACTACTAACAACTGGCAAGCAATAGCAATAGCAGCCACTTGCGCGGTCCATTGCAGTTCTGCAGGAGCAAGGCGGTCCTCTCAATTGATTCGCTTATAATGACTGGCCACTGGAATTATCCTATACTTGCCCCGTGTAATTGAGATCCAAGCGACTTTCATACTAATGCACCATTCCATTATTGCGAGCATTTTTGCGGAAATATATTTCTGTATACATCAAAAAAATCTCGTTTTAGACACTTCACAAAACTGACAAAAATTCTATTCCATATTTTTTATTTTCCTCACATTTTCCCAATTTTCATCAAAAATATTTACTTCTTTCTTCTTCTGCCAATAAATTGAATTCCTTTAACAAATTTCATTATTCATGGAAGAATTAAAAAAATTTATAAAAATAATTAAATTCTTGCGAAGAATTTTATAAAAATTTTTAAATAATTAATTTCATTCGACTAATTTTATGCAAATTCTATAATTTAAATAATTGAATTCTTGAGAAATTTTTATTATTCATCAAACAAATTGAAAAAAAAATTTTAAATAATTGAATTCTGTTTGGAAATTTTATGAAAATAAGTAGATATTGAAAATCATTAAATTGAGAAAAGTTTTTAAAAATAATTGAATTTTACATAGAATTCTATTACAATTTTTGACAATGATTGAATGTCTGTGCGGCAATTTATTAAATTTTTTTTGAAAATAATTGAATTCTTGTGAACGATTTTATTGGATTTTCTTTAAATAATTGAATTTTCAAGAAGAAATCTATTACTTTTAAAAATAATTAAATTCTTGTAATGAATATTGTTATTTATGAAGATAATTGAATTTTGCAAAGAATTTTATTAAAATGCCTCAAAATAATTGAATTTCCGGGAATAATTTTGTTATTTATCTTTAATAATTGAATTCTTTTGAAGAATATTGTTTATGTAAATAATTGAGTTCTCGGGAAGAATTTTATTAAATCAAAAAGAATAATTGAATTATTTCAAAAAAATTCAATTAAAATTGTAAAATAATTTATTTGTTTCGAACAATTTTATTAAAATAATAATAATAAATAATAATAATTGCTTAGAATTTGGGATAAATTTTATCAATTTTTTTTTTAAATAATTGAATTCTTTTGCGAAATTTTATGAAAATAGCAGATATTGAAAATCAGTCAATTGCAAAAAGTCCTTAAAAATAATTAAATATTACGAAGAATTCTATTAAATTTTTTTGAAAACAATTAAATTCCTAAAAAGTATTTTACTATATTTATAAAAATAATTGAATTATTGCGAACGATTTTATTCGAATTTTTTAAAATAATTGAATTTCGAAGAAGAAATTTATTAACTTTGAAAAATAATTGAATTCTTGTGATGAATATTGTTATTTATGAAAATAATTGAATTTTGCAAAGAATTTTATTAAAATCCCTCAAAATAATTGAATTTTCGAGGATAATTTTGTTATTTATCTTTAGTAATTGAATTCTTTCGAAGAATTATTTATGTAAATAATTGAATTCTCAGGAAGAATTTCATTAAAATTTTTCTTTCTTTCGAAAAATTTTATTAAAATATCCTGTGAATAATTCTAATATTTTTGTATATAATTAAATTCTTCCAAAGAATTAGAAAAGATATTTTTTTTAAATTGATTTCTTTCAAGAATTGGTATTAAAATTTCAAGAATAATTACATTTTTCGAGCAATTCCTGTAAAATTGTATTAAAAATAATTGAAATCCTACGATGTATTTTAATATTTATGAAAATAATTGAATAGTTCTAAAGAATTTTATTAAAATTTTCAAAAATAATTGAATTCCTGAGAAGAATTGATTATTATTTATGAAAATAGTTTAATTATTTGTAGAAAATTTTATTAAAATGTTATAAAAAGAATTGAATTTTTGTAAAAAATTTTGTTATTTTTGAAAATAATTGAATTCTTGTAATGAATAGTGTTATTTATGAAGATAATTGAATTTTGCGAAGAATTTTATAAAAATGCCTCAAAATAATTGAATTTTCGAGAATAATTTTGTTATTTATCGACATAATTGAATTCTTGGGAAGAAGTTTATTGAAATCTAAAAGAATAATTGAATTATTTCTAAAAAATTTAATTAAAATTGTATTTAAATTTTAAAATAATTGATTTCTTTCGAACAATTTTATTAAAGTATTTGAAAATAATTGAATTCCTGTGAAAAATTCTAATATTTTTGAAAATAATTGAATTTTTCTAAAGAATTGAAAAAAAACGTTTTTTTCAAATAATTGATTTTTTTGAAGAATTGAAACTAAATTTTCGAGAATAATTACAATTTTCGAGAAATTTCTGTACAATTGTACTAAAAATAATTGAAATCCAGTGATGAATTTGATTATTTATGAATACAATTGAATAGTTGCTAAGAATTTTATTATTTATGAAAATAATTGAATTATTGAGAAAAATTTTATTAAAATATTATAGGAAATTTAAGTTCTGTGAGAAATTTTGTTGTTTTTTTGAAAATAATTTAATTCTTCATGAGAATTTTATAAACAATGTTTTAAATAATTAATTTTTTCGAAATATAATAAACATTATGAAAATTTTATTTTAAATAATTGAATTCTTGTGGAAAATTTTATTTGTGAAAATAATTGAATTTTTCTGTTAATTTAAAATAGTATTAAAATCAAGTGAAATTTTTCGATGAGTTTTATTATTTATGAAAATAATTGAATTCTTGCTTAGAATTTGGTTTAAAAAATGTTTTTAAATATAATTGAATTTCCATGGAAAATGTTATTATTAGTGAAAGTAATTGAATTCTTGTGAAGAATTGTATAAAAATTTTATTGTATTAAATAATTGGATTCTTTTGCGAAATTTTATGAAAATAAATAAATAATTGATTTTGAAAATAATTGAATCGTTTTAAAGAATTTTATTATAATTTTTGAGAATAGTTTTCTGATTTCTAGTATTAGCGAATTTAAAGTGGTGGAAATTCTCAAAAAAAGAGAAGCAGTAATAGTAGCTTTTAGTGTCTGAAATCTAAAAAAAGTACCTAAATAGTAGCATAATTTAAAGAAAATAGTATAAACAGTAGGTTTTAGTAGATGAGTGCTTTGATATCAGGAAGGGGTTTTTTTTTAATATGATGTTTAATCTTTACCTCAAATAATATATTTAAACGAAGATCTTTTATTTTAAAAGTATGTTTAAATTATTGTATGTTGTAGGATAAAATTAAAGAAACTTTGTTGTTTTTGTGAACATTTATTTCAGTAAATTAAGAAGAACAGTTTGTTGAAAACAAACCTTTATTTAATTTCGCGCTGATATTTTTATGTCAAATGAAATTTCTGTTAAATGGTTTTTGACGTGACAAATAATTGTTAGTGCTAACAACAAAAGCAAGTATTTTTGTTTATACATTTTCATTAGCATCGTCAAAGTTAATAAATAAATAAATAATTTTAAAGACAAAATGTGTTTTTGACTTCAACATGGAATCACAATCTAAATGCTAAATGTCATTATTATTATTATTTAGCTTATTATGTGATGTGCAGGTTCGTGATGTCTCCTAAACTTTTCTTTCCTATGAAAATCTGAAAAGCTCCAATTATAGCATCCCACTTTGAATAAGAGATTTCTTTTTCGGTATGTGTCAACTTTAAATCTTTATTATCCAGTTTATTATTTTCTTTCTTTGCATCACTTATCATTCGATCCACATCCGAAATCGTCTCATTAACTGATTCATGAAGCCATTTTAAAATATCAAACAAATAATGTTCTAAGTCTTCAATAACTTGTGTATGTAGTAAATCATCAATAAATGCCAATATTTTAATTTTCTCTAAAATGTTATTTTCATCAATTATCAATTTAAATTTATTATCCATAAGGCTTATTGCTTCAACTGTCGAGTATAAAGTTCTTGTATGATTTCCTGACAATGATAATTCTTCTTTAATGACAATTACCTTTTTTTGGAAGGTTCGTATATAATTTGCGTACGATTCATTCTTTATAGCAATTAAATCATTTTTTTTCATTGTAGTGACTACTTGCAACATAGCATTCAATAAATTGTACATTGATACTCTGATCATTGTCTTCAGTTCGGAAGCGATATTCTGCAGGCAGAGATTTGATGCATCTGAAACACTTACTTTTAAATGCTGAAGAAAAGTTCTTTGTAAACTCACAGAATTTCTAATAGCCGGAAAGATATTATAGTCAACATCAGATGTAACCTCACCTATTCTCATCGCTCTCCTAAAGATGCCAGTATGATTGACATTATCTATTAAATACAGTATAAATTTTTTTTTCTTTTCGGACAATTCCATTTGAGAGCTTGATAGAAACTGCATTTTTAATTTCTCCTTTATGAATTCATGATCGACTGTATAATTATTCCAAATCTCAGGGGCCTTTGCAAAAATCACTGATATGCTTGAAAATATGTTTTGGAAATCTTTTTGGAAAATGTCTTCAAGATGTCTCAAAAGTGTGAAAAATGGATTTGGAGAATCGTTTTTAAGATCGTCAAAGTCAATTACAACGATAAATTTTAGAGACTGAAGGTTATCAATCAAAAATTTAATATAGTACGAATTAGTGATGTCCTGTTCGTTTCCTCTGTTGTCGTCAAATCCAGGTGTATCCCACAGGACCAACTTGGGCAACTTTGGCGATTTCCATTTTGAAGGAATTGTAGTTTTTGATTTTGATCCACGACCAATTTGCGGTCCTGAGGATTTTTTGTCTGCTTTTTCAATTAATATTGGTTCAAATTGATTCTTTTTTGTAGCTTTCAATTTATTGTTAATTATGTAATTAATTAGGGTGCTTTTGCCAGCTCTTGCAGTTCCCATGAAAAGGGCCGCATTTTCCTCTCCAATCTTCTTTTCCAAAATTTTCTGCGTATTTAATTTAAGATTCTTTTCCAAGTGTGACAATCGAGTTACATCAAGCTTACAATTTTGGCTATAAACAAGTGAAATTAGCAGGCAGATGAATGCTTTTCTGATCATTGTTAATGTTGATGATGATACTTTGTTCAATTATGAACCTATGCGGTTGGAATTTAGTCCTGATATTCTATTCCGCAGAACACAAAAAATGGTTGGAAATCAGAAAACTTTTCTTTGTGTTCTCTAAGTAATTTGCAATTTAAAAAATGTTTTAAAAATTAGTCAATTCTTACCTCTTTTCTGAAGATTTTAAAAAACTGAAACAATGAGATAACTTAAGTCTTTATTATTGACACAAAATTTTATGAAAGAATGCAAAGACTAGACGTGGCGTTTGCGAATAGTTTGTAACGTTTCAAAATTTGTAATCTCTCATATTGTATACTTTTAAAATATCACTAACTTTATGTGCGAAAACCAATGGAAATTGCAGGTGTATCGATTAAGTAGAGAGAAAACATTATTTGACAGTAAAAAGAACGTGACAATTTTTTATGTCCCCAATAAAATAGTGATATTTTGATAAAATGTATAAGCCGAATTATATCCGATTCAATTTTTACCATATTTGGTATCTAAGGATTTAAAAAAAAAAAATTAACATTTAGTTGGAAAATTTATATATTCAAAATTTGATATGGAGACACTCAAAGGAAGTGACATGTGCAAATAAAAATTTCCCTCCTCAGCTTTAAAATGCATATATATGTATGAATATGCATATTAAAGTTATTTATCTGTGCTGACAACTCTAATTACTATAAACTCTTTATATGAAGAAACGGGTTCTTCGTCCGGATCATAAAGAATTAATGCTGCATAAGCAACAAGATAAGATTGCGAAAAAATTGCTCACTATTTGTGTTTGATAACGCCAAAAGGGTAAAAGAGTGTAAAGTAAGATGTTATGTCCACTTTCTGGATAGTTGCATAACGATAAAAGACAAATAAATTATTTACAAACGTTTTTCGTTATTTTTTCAAAGCCGAAAATTTCAGTGAAATATCACTCTTTGCGGAACTCATTTATTTCATTTTCAGATAGATCAAAAAAATTTTTTTGTTACTTTTTTAAAATTAAATATCGAGTGCAAAGTCTGTAATGGTTATAAAACAATTTTTCTTTTAAATTCTGAATTTGAATGAAGTATTTAGTAGAAAAGTATCATTTTTGTGAGAATATGTGATGTTAATGTTATTATTAACTTAGCTACAATTTAATTATAGGTACATAAATGTATTTTTCAAAAATCTCCACATGACTTTAAAATTTCATATTTTTGCATGTGATTTTATATTATATAAAATTGCATGTTTTTCCTGGTAGATAAAAAATTTTTAATAATCTGATCTGTATTCTAAGACCGAAAGAGAATAATAAGGACTCGTATCACGTCATAAAAATTTTATGCATATTCGGTTCTAAGAATCATTAATAATGAATAAAAAGACTTCCAATATTAAAACTGTCAATGCATTTTTTATGCATTCTTTTCAACATTTTTTGTCTCCTTTTATTTCAAATATTGGTATAAACTGAAGAGGAATTATTATTATTGAAGAAAAATACTTGAATTACGGAGAAAAATATTTGCATAAGAATCTATTATATATAATTCTCTTGCGGTTGATGAATTTTTTACACAGTTTGTAATTTTTAACAACTGCGGATTGGAAAAATAGAGAAAATAATAAATTACAGATTCTTTTTAATTTTAAGGATAATTTTAATTTTATTCCTTTAATAAATTCTCTAAAGAATTATCTTTATATTTTATTCCCTTTTCATTTTCCTTTATGAATTTTACTAGGTATTAAGGTATATGCGATTTTCCATATTTTAGTTATTGACGTATTGAACCAACTTTTCTTATTTAATAATAAATTCAATTTTGAAATAATCTATTCTCTTACATTTTAAAATGTAACTCTATAATGAATAGAAAATTCGTAAGAAAATTTCTATTAATTTTAAAAGCTTCTTCTGTCTCAGTTTGATTTATCACTTAACACTTGATACAATAAAAAAAGCAAAAGATTGCTTTTTCGATTTGAATAAATACGTGTAACGTCAATGGTAAAACTAACGAAAACGCAAACAGATAAGTCGTGGGAAATGGTAAAGTGGTTCTGGATAATCGATACTCGACATGTTTTTCCTTTTAGTATATGTAGAGAAATGGCAATAATAATAATCCTCTTTTAGTAAATAATCGAATCTTTTTTTAACGAACACTTTAACCCGTTCGCAGTCTGGTGAAAAAATCGTTTTCGGTCCAAAAATAAAAAAATTAAATAAATTTCATTTAGCAGACTTTACAGTCTGTCCCCTATTTCCCTAAAAGTCCCCTTTTTTTAATTTTGGCCCCTAAACTTACCCTATTTTCAAAATTTCCTCTATTTTTTCTTTTATCTTTTAATGATGAATTTACACCAAATTTAGCAAAGTGTCGTTCAAAATTTCATTTAGAAACTTTTGTTTTGAAAGTTTCAAATCCTTAAATTTATGATCGATGAAGTTTTTCATGAAATTTATAAAATTCGTAAGAAAATTCAGAATTTTTGGTATCTTTTTTGTTTGCCTCGTAAACTATGAAACTGACACTAATTTTAATACAAAACCTTTAAAAACTTTTTCTATTTCCGACAAGAATGAATTTTTTTAATATTATTTAATTGTTACAAAAGTTTTAATTCAATTATCAAGATAAATAACAAAATTCTTCACAGAAATTCAATAATTTTTAGGAATTTTAATAAAATTCTTTGCAAAATTCAATTATTTTCAAAAGTAATAAAATTCTTCGAAGAAATCCAATTATTTGTTAACATTTTCACGAATATCTCGTCAAGAATTCAATTATCTTTACAAATAGCAAAATTTTTCGACAAAAATTCAATTATTTTCAAAAATTTATAAAAATCTTTACAAAAGTTCAATTACTTTCAAAAGTTTTTTGCAATTCGATAATTTTCAATATTTACTATTTTCATAAAATTTATCAACAGATTTACTTATAGAAAAAATTTTTTGATACAATTCTACGAAAATATTCAATTATTTTTATAAATTAATAAAATTTGATTTACGAATTCAATTATTTTCATCTCAGAATTTCAAATATTTTTAATACAATTTTAAATAAATTCCTTGAAAAATGCAATTATTATTAAACATTTTTTTAAAACTTGAGAAAAGAATTCAATTTTAAGAAACATTCAATTATTCAATAAAACACTAAAATTCGTTGCAATAATTCAAATATTTTCATAAATAACATTTAATTCGTCGCAGAAAATTAATTATTTTAAAAAATTTTTAAGTAATTTTGCTAAAGAATTCAATTAGCTCGATAAACAACAAAATCGCATAAATTCTTTCTATAAAATAAATTATTCTAAGGAATTTTGATAAAATTCTTTTCCAAAATTCAATTATTTTGATAAATAACAACATTCATCACAAGAATTCAATTATTTTTAAAAATTCTAATAAAATCATTCGCAAGAATTCAATTATTTTTACAAATAGCAAAATTTTTCGCCAAATATTCGATTAATTTAAAAAATTTCAATAAAATTCTTTGCAAAATTTGAAATATTACCAAAAGTTTTTCTCAATTCAACAATTTTCAATATTCACTATTTTCATTAAATTTATCAAAAGATTTAATTATTGGAAAAATTTTATGATAAATTCTAAAAAAAACTTTCAATTATTTTCATAAATAATAAAATTTTAAACTTGACGAAAGAATTCGATTTTAAGAAACATTCAATTATTCAATTATATAATAAAATTTGTTGCAGTAATTCAAATATTTTCATACATAACATTTAATTCGTCGCAGAAAAACAATTATTTTAAAAAAATTTTAAGTAATTTCGCAAAAGAATTCAATTAGCTTGATAAACAAAAAAATAAATTCTTCTCATAAAATCAATTATTCTACGGAATTTTAATAAAATTCTTTTCCGAAATTCAATTATTTTGATAAATATCAAAACTCATAACAAGAATTCAATTTTTTTTAAAAAGTAATAAAATACTTTGCAGAAATTAAATTATTTTAAAAAATTTTTTAAAAATTCTTGTCAAGAATTAAATTATCTTTATAAATAGATAGGAAAATTTCTTCTTAAAAAGTCAATTATTTTCAATCATTTTAATAAAATTCTTCTCATGTATTCAATTATTTTCAAAAATTACTATTTAAATTCTTCTCAAGAATTCAATTATTTTTAAAAAATTTAATAAAATTCTTCAAAAAGTTTTCAATTATTTTCAAAAATTGTTATAAAAGAAATTAAATATTTTCAAAAGCTGTTAATAGAATTCTTCGTAAAAATTAAATTTTAAGAAACATTCGATATTATTTATTTTTGTATTTAAATAATTGATTTCTTGTAGAATTAAATTATTGTTTTTCGTACTTTTAACTAACAATTCTGTAGAATTAATTTTTTTGAAAAAGTTTAATTGAATAATAATTGATGTTATTGATTTAAAGTAGAATTTTAGTTAAAAATTCTAAAAAATGTTAATTGAATTGAAATGATACAAATAATTTTAAAGAAATTACAGTAACAATATTCTTGTAATAATAAACTTATTAAAAACTATTGATGTTTTTTGAATAATTTTACTTTTGAAGAAATTTGTAAATAAATTTAATAGAGAATTTTGTTGAGTATCTAATAATTTTGAGAGTGAATCAGAATATTCTTTAGGGTCAGGAAAAAAGTCAAAGTTGTGTTTGAAAATCAGGGAAAAGTTGTCGCTATATAGAATTTTTCAAATCTGAAATCCAAATTCAACTTTGGATTGAACGGCCCCGAGAACTTCTAATTGTAAGAAACGAATTTGAAGCAAAATTGAATTTAAAAAACTTGTTTGCCATATTGGATCCGCCATTTTGAATTTTGTAAATCTGACTATTCGGATTGCGACGCTGTTCACTATTTTTATTTTGAATTGACGCAAAAGTTTTAGTCGATTTGCCTCAATTTAGAAATTGAAATATAAAAGTATAAATCTATATAACCGACAGATATATATAGCTCATAAGTATTGAGAAAATCAACTCTGTGAAGATGACAGGTTTGAACAATTGTTGGAAATTACTTTTTCAATTCGAGAATAGAATTACTTGGAATGAAGCAAAGAATACTTGCATATACTGCGACTGCTCTCAGTGAAAACTGCTGATCCGGAAGGGTACTTGCATTTTAATTAGTTTCCAAAGATCTTGCAGCGGACATTGAACAGAAGTTCGAAACGTCGACGCAGACAAGCGAGAAAACTAAAATCGCTGAAGACGTTTTCAACGAGAAAATTTAAAACGAACAAGAAACGTGTTATGTGAAAAACAAAAATTCAGTATATATAAACTTTTCGTAAAATTGT